GTCGAATGTCATCTAATCCCTTTGTATGCTGGGATTGGTCGAATGTCATCTAATCCCTTTGTATGCTGGGATTGGTCATTGAATAAACAGCAATTTGTTTATTTCCAGTCGAATTGGTGAGATTGTCATCATTCCACAAGACGGATGGCTTATCGGTACAAAGTGAGTATTCATACTCGTTCAGTGAGGAAGAAGGGATCGGACTGCCACTAATATTTCTTATTAGTTCTTCTATAGACTTTAGATGTCTTCCAGGTAACCATGGCTATGACCCAATGGATGCTAGCATGAGGGTATGTCTACTCCCATTCCTATCTCATATATCTTGTCTTTTTCATATTTCATCCTTTTTCCTCTTTCCTCCATAATGCGGACGTCACTATTCTCGTACTCTGTGTTTATAAATGATGTTTTTCTCGCTTGAAAAGCATTTGAAAATAGAAAAAATCACTAAAATTCCTGGAATACTCCCTGAATCCGATGCAATATGCTGTTGATTTTCTTTTTTTTTTTTCCTTCTTCTACGTTTTTCGGTTGAAGTAAGAGGGGTTATTAAAATTTTACCCGGAAACAAACAACATCAAGTTCAATTTTGCTTCGAGGATTCCCAATACAAGATTGAATCGACACGCAGGCGGCTAAAGTATGAGTTGATGCAGGTTGTTCACAGCAACCATACAATGATGTCTTGTTTATTATTCCAATAGTCAATGTTTGTGGCTCATGGACCATCATTCAAAAAGGGACTAATACATGACCCTTTTGTAAATACAGAAATCTACAACATGATAGCAGGTATACCATTCAAACCATAATAGCCACAATGATTATTGTCATGATGATGGCATATGATAGCATAAATAATGATGATGATGCTAATAATAATGCATAATTGTATTGGGATTTTTGCACATGAAGATTTATGTAGAGCCGAAGCCGAAGACGAGAATCGTTATACCTGATAAAACACGATCTCGAGTGTTTTAAACGGCATAAAAAACTCCAACACTAATTTGAAACTCAAATCCGTTAAAATTCTTGGAGAAATTGCTGTACAAATATGTTCAGAGATAAATGGGCCAAACTGATCATGCGCAAATCACTTTACAAGGCAATCTTGTCATCCCACATTGAATACGCATAAAGTAAAATAGAAGCGCTCTTGGCTGTTCGCTGAAATCGGTTGACATCCTGCATTGGTCAATGATCAGGTTTCAAACCTGAGACCTTTGCTAGGGTCATGGACCTTTATATCTGATAAAGGTCACCCTTATTAGTATTCTTTATATAAAGAATACTAATAAGGAGTGTTTTATCAGATATAAAGGTCCATGCATGTGACCAAATAGGCTCATTCTATTGGTCTAGTAGCTCATTAATTATGTATGAGTTTTTTAATAGAAGTTTTTAAATTTGTATGAGTGATCAGGACATCGCGTATGTTTTCAGGGCTTCTTGAAATTAAACCAGTCACAAATGATGGAACACCTGGTAGTTTGAATCTAATGCTTAAGACTGAAACACCTCCTCTCCCCTTAAAGGGAGATGGTAAAGAATTTCAGACCTGCAGCTACCCTGGTGATAATATTGCCGCTAAACGACGCCAGTGTAAAGACTGCGTTTGTCCTTACTGTGACGTAAGTGGGTTATAAATAGAGAAGCAACATTGTGACACCGAGATATGACCAGTAAACAAGCGCTCATTCTGGTTTGTCAAAAGTCTATACAATTTAGCGCGAAAATTAAAAAATCTCGATGAATTTAGTAATTTGCATTATCCCTCGTTCAGTTAGGCTCAAGTCCCGACAAGGTGAAACATTTGGATGAAAAACTTGATCTCAGCAACAAACAAAGTAAGTGCACTTTCCATTTGTCAGAACTGGCTGGCCAGACCCAGAGTATTATTTTTTACTCTTTCGTTATACGGTGACTTTTACAAGATATAGACTGATGAGTTCCTAGTGAATTACATGACATCTTTAGATACAAGACGAAATACAGGGCAAAATATAAAACGAAATTACAAACGATACTTACAAAACGATGTGTCTGTTTACGGTAAACGGTTGACGTTGAACTGATTTACGAAACTGATTTTACATATATTATAGCTACAATCTTGGACATAAATACTTGACAATTTTTCGCTTGGGCATTACAAATACTGTATCGTGTGCATAAACTGAAAATATTCCCCTTCCCTCCCTCCCCTCCCGCATCAATGTTGCATGCAGGGGTTAATGAATGGACAACCAATGAAAAGAAAGCCACACAACATTGTATTGGGGGAAGGGGGGGCAAGAGTAAGGTTTTATCGACGAAGAATGTTAGAAATTTCGTGCGTGCGTAAAAATTGTCAACATTTATGTCCACGATTGTAGCTTAAGATTCCTCAAGGGACCAAAAATAAACAAAATAGCACTAACACAGAGAAAATGTCATTATATATCATTCCCATTTATTTAGGAAATTCAAATTTTCAAATTCTATCCATTATTCTACAAAAAACCTCGAAATGTCTGAAAAATGTTGACAAAAAGCATTATATACCTCTAAATAGAGTGGACTGGCCGGCCAGTTCTGCCTAAATGGAAAGCATCCTAAGTAAAAGAAGTAAAAACATCATCTTTGTCATATTTTTATATCTTTTTTAGTGTTTGATATCTGTTCAGCGTTTGTGCTAGGGATCTCGGAAAATTTGAAGTCAGTCCAGCATACTCGTCGTGTCTACTGATCTGCACTAGAATTATCTCATAACCATGAAGCCTTTATCTTTTTTTGCTTAGTAGTTTTCATACGATGCCGATTCTTAGAGGCATACTTCATGATCGTACAACGCGCGAAGTACGCTAGTCAGACGACACTAGAGTAACGTGCATGCCCGAGAGTGGTGTTTTAAGTCATTTAGCTTATATTTTTACTGTAATTCTCTCAATCTAAATTTCATATTTTTTGATCATTATATATATTTTTATAATAATGAGACGCGAAAGTCGTTTCTCGAGTAACAGTTGGGCTTCTTGTTAAATCAAGTTTGAAATAATCCATTTCATTTTCGAAATTGCGAAAAGTCTGGAGTGAGCCATCAATTATGAAGATGTTTGCAGCGAACTCCGTTCATGATTCATATGGCTCGAACCCAGGCGGACAATCCAATGTGGTGAGCACGGCACTTAGTACAAATAACTTGTTGTTCAATGTCATTTACTTTTCCAGTCCTCGACTATCAGCAATTCAATTTACCGTGGGGGCTTCCTGACGGAGGAGCTGGGAATGGTGGCTGTATATTGACCCAACAGGAATACATAACTGGATTTAGTACTTACCTGAGAGTACCCCTATGGGTTGGCTATAGGCTGGATGGAGAGGTATTCTACCAATCGATTAAAAACTAGTCAAAAAACTTTGAAGAATTCAGTTTTCAGGAGTATTATTTTTATTCACAGAAAGCCAATCAAAAAATTCCAAGGCAAAATTGTTTCAGACGAGATATCCGTCTAAATGATGCCCAGGCCTCTGATTGTAATCATTACATACGGTCAGGAATGGATCGCGGTCACATGGTACCAAATGCTGATTTCGACTACAATGAAACAGCAGCTTTGAATACGTTCATTCTATCCAACGTTGCTCCGCAGTATCACATATTTAACACAGGTAACCCATTTAGAACAAAACATTGCTCCACAGTATCACGTATTTAACACAGGTAACCCATTTAGAACAAAACATTGCTCCACAGTATCACGTATTTAACACAGGTAACCCATTTAGAACAAAACATTGCTCCACAGTATCACATATTTAACACAGGTAACTCTTATATAACAAATTTTCACTTATATAATATATGTTTCTGGACCATTATAAGCTGGGGGTAGGGCTCGGGGGATCAGGCAAACCTCTTTAGGCTGGGTGCGCCCTTAACTTAAATTGTTCAGTGAGAGTAGTTTTTGCTCTCGCTAAGAAAGTAATCGATTGAAAGATCTTCTGGGTCGCAAATATTCTACAGTGTGAGAAATATTGGRTTGGATTTGAATTTACATTGGTTGGATTTGAATTTACATAATATTTTTATTAAATCCACATCATTTTAACATCACGTTTTTCCAGTGAATAATGATCAACGGTACTATCGTTATTAGGCGACTGGGCATTCCTAGAGACTTACGTAAGGAGCCTAGCTATCAAATTCAATATTGTTTACGTCATCAGTGGGGCGATATTTGATAAGGATGCTGATGGAATGCGTGACACGGACGCATCGGTCACAAGGTAATGCAGGGTGTTGTTTTCACCATTATTATCAACATTATTATGGCGTTTTTTATCTTCGTAATTTTCTATTGTTTTAGTTGGTTAAAAGATAAGCCGAACACTGTTGCTATACCAACCCATTTTTACAAAATAGTCGTACGTTGCAATGTCTCTGAACTACCTTTCTACAAAGTCCCAGGATGCAATGGCCGGCTTGACGTCATCTCATTTATTTTACCTCACAAAAATGAAAAGCATTGCTATGTAAGTATACCATAGAAAATTAATTGTTTCTGTCCCCCACGCTGTAGCGTCATAAAGTGAAATAAGGCAGTTGTTCACATTTCTTGTGCTCTGGTATTATATATCAAATCATTGGATCTGTAAGTCTGTCTGTCCTCAATTATTGCTATTGTTCATCAGCACCAATCACGGCAAGACTATCTTCTTGATAACACAGCAACAGTACGAGACGTCGAACGACTGACAGGCTCTGTGTTTTTCAACCGTCTACCATCGTTAGAGCAAGCTCGACTGAAGACTTTTTACCCATTAGAGTTATGGTAGTGCTGCAGTAGTAACATTTTGTTAAACCAAAAAATGATGCATAATTCACAAATATATCAATGGACTTTTTCCATAAGAGAAGTCCTTCAAACGGGATTACAAGTAGATCGTGTTCACATTTAATATGATTTTTATGGTCTATATCAGAAAGAAACCGAAGGTTTAGTTGAGAAGAATGGTTTTGTTTCACAAACAAAAGGATACAATGTGGCGAACCAAAACATACAGTTCTCCAGCTGAAAAGAGAGAATAATAAATGAAAATTAAATTTGCATTTAACTACTTTTGTAATCTAACACATTTATTTTATTTTATTTTATTTTATTTTATTTTATTTTATTTTATTTTATTTTATTTTATTTTATTTTATTTTATTTTATTTTATTTTATTTTATTTTATTTTATTTTATTTTGTTTTGTTTTATTTTATTTTGTTTTGTTTTATTTTATTTTATTTTGTTTTATTTTATTTTATTTTATTTTATTTTATTTTATTTTATTTTATTTTATTTTATTTTATTTTAATATTTATCTGGGCAGCAATTTCGGTGATGACTGTACGAGTGCGACAAACAGTGTTATTTTAATCTATAAAGGAAGATGTTTAATTCAGGGGATTACATGGCATGCATACGCTACAAATTATACCGTGGGGGGATGGGCAGCTGGGCGCTGATGTATATTTGATATCTGTTGTGAAGCACCTGTTTAACCTTGCTCGGCATAACAGACTGTAGAGGTTAAACAAAACTTCTTTGCTAGCCCACATTTATGTATCAAATATTGATGTATGGTTAGTGGTTTGTTTTTTGTGTTATGGTACCTGCTTTAGTCCACCTGTAGTCACGGTGATAGCGATTGGCCGTTATTAGCAAAACAACATTCCTAGAAACCTGAATAGTTTCTTAGCATCACACGTTATGGACGACGAAATTGATCCAAAACAGTTTCGCTTTATCCAAGAAGAGCATGACACAATATTTAAGAAAATCGAAGAGCTGAAAGAATTATTGATTGAAGCCTCAGATTCAGGTGTAAAACCGGACGAGGCTAGTGTGCTGAGTTCGTTGGGTTTAGCACATTTCAAAATTGAAAACTTTGATTTAGCAAGACAATATCAAGAAAAATATCTTGCATTAGCTACTGAGCTTGAAGATGAAAAGGGAAAGGCAAGGGCTCACTGCAATTTAGGCTGTACTTTTAAAGCCATGGGAGATTTCAAGCAAGCAAAAGGACATTTTGAAACAGCTATTGATATTGGACATCAAGATGGCAATAATAAATTGTTAGCAAGAACTTACAATAACCTTGGTAATATATATGAGCTAGAAGAAAACCTACCCGAGGCTTTAGACTGCCATTTAAAAAGACTTGCTTTAGCTCACCAACTTAACGATAAGAATGGCATTGGTAAGGCATGTGCAACGTTAGGGAATTTATATCACGTTACGGGTGAACTTGAGGCTAGTATCCAGTACTATCAGGAAATGCTCAAGATTCTACGCGACAAATTAAGTAAGTATTGATGAATACTGTAATATGTAATATGTTTTTGTTTATTAAATGAGTAACGAGTAACGAGAAAGCATTTGTTGTAATTTTTCCCTAATTTTTATATCAACCGACTCCAGTAAGTAATTTTCACACGTACAATTTTTTTTGTCAGTGATTTCTGTCGCATTATATTCATTGAAACAGACAAGTGCATAAAGAGTGACTAATTAAAACAAGTTGCTGTTTGTGAATTACAGTTTGATTTCTATCTCAGTTTCCTATTAATGTTTAATTCTACTTTAGTTTGGGTTTCTTTCATGGTCCACCAATGTAACTTTTCGTGACCATTGAAATACTAATCAAAATGCATGAAGTATATTCAAGACCAATTGAGGTGGTGGTTGGGTTCCAAATATCGAACCAACCTGACTCTGATAATTTTGTATTCGGCCGTTTTCACGAGCTGATCGCAAAGCTAAGTAGTTACGAAAAAAACTGATCACAAACTTTGGTTATTTTGCTTCTTTTTTC